TCCCAGGGTCCTGGGATCGAGCCCTGCATCAGGCTCCCTGCTCGGCGGGAGGCCTGCTTCTCCCTCTCCCACTCCCCCTGCTTGTGTTCCCTCTCTCTCTGTGTCTCTCTCTGTCAAATAAATAAAATCTTTAAAAAAAAGATGAAAAAAAATAAAATATTAACTCACTGCCATTTTAGTGATTTTGGGAAGAGAAGAGGGATGAACACATGTGTTTAATCTGTCCATGTATAACAAGAATTGCCAGGCTGTCAAGATGCTCACTCTTTTGCTTCTACAAAAATGTCAGAACCAGAAAAATCAGAGATAAAATCTGTGCTCATGAGGCTGATGTGGAAAAGCAGGCTTCTGAGAATTGTAGTACCTATTTTACAGTGCTGTTATAGTCATTTATTGGTTGGTTTATGTTAGGTAAGTTAAATTTTCTGACTGCTTCATCATCTGTAAAGTGGTGACAATTATCCCTACACAACCTATCTTAAAATGACTTAGTAAGAAAATTGACATAAATTTACAAATACAGAACATATATCATTTATTACTAACTATATCACTAATAGGCATAATCAAATATATTTGGAGAGGCAGTGTAACAGAGTAGAAAGAGTATGGTCTTCAGTCATACAGATCTGGAATTGAATTCCATCTTTGTCATTCATTGTGTGATTTGGGGTAAATGACTTAACCTCTTTGAGCTTCATTTTCCGTGTTTATAAAATGAGTATAATATTATTAACCTGATAAGGCTTTTGTGAAGATTAAATGAGATCTTGCATGTAACACAACTACTATAGAGCCTGACGCTTCATAGGTACTCAGCAGATTTACCCTCATACCTCCCTAATTTGGGACCAGCTTTCTTATGCTAACATGAAAATCCTGAGCTTCTATTTCCACAATTAATGCTAAACCACATTAGTAACTAGCATCTTAGGTCTTCAATAGTCCTCATAAAGGCTGTTTATTTGCTGTGTTCCTGGAACTAATTTATAAGGTGAGCAGCCCAAATTGTAAGAGTTCAGCATACATATCCTTTTAAGTGGTAACAGGTTATTGCTGAGGCATCTTTAGGAATATTTTATTATGAAATAGGACGTGAAACTTGTGATTAATATTAAAAGAGATCAGGCACACTGGAATACTGGAAAAACTACTACTGAAAAAATCATCTTAAGAGTTGTTGGTTTTGTTTTGGTTTTGTTTCTATTGGGTCCTCACACAAACCCAGAAGTCAAACAGGCTTTATTATCCTGTTTAAAGATGAAGAAATCAAGGCACAAGTTAAAAAACAACTTGCACGTGATTCGCTGGTCATTGGGGGAACAACCAAGATTAATCTTGGTCTCTTGACTCCCTGATCAGTGCTTGTATTTTTTTTAATAACATAAAATTCACAATGTTAACCATTTTTAAGTGTACAGTTCAGTTAAGTACATTCACATTGTTGTGCAACCAATCTCCAGAACTCTCTTTATCTTGCAAAACTGAAACTCTGCCCCCATTAAACAACAACTCCCCATTCTTCTTCCTCCGGGCCCAGGCAACCACCATTCTACTTTCTGTTTCTATGAGAGTGACTGCTCTAGGTACCTCATATAAATGGAAGCATGTAGTATTTGTCTTTTTGTGACTGGTTTATTTCATTTAGCATAATGCCTTCAAAGTTCATCCATATTGCAGTATGTGTCAGAATTGCCTTCCTTTTTAAGACTGAATAATATTCCATTGGATGTATATACCACATTTTGTTTTTCCATCCATCTACCAACAGACACTTGGGTTGCTTCCATTCTTGGCTATTGTAAATAATGCTGCTGTAAACATGGGTGTTTAAAATCTCTTTGAGACTCCCCTTTCAACTCTTTTGGGTACGTACACAGAATCGGAATTGTTAGATCATATGGTAATTTTTTGAGGAACCACCATGCTGTTTTGAAGAACAGCTATATATAGCAGCCATATCATTTTACATTCCCACCAATAGTGCACAAAGGTTCTAATTTCTCCACATCCTTGCTAATACTTGTGCTTTTCTGTTTTTAGTTTTGCTTTATTTTTATAATAGCTATTCTAATAGCTAGCTAACAGGTGTGAGGTGGTCTCATTCTATGGTTATCTTCAGGGTTTTGCAGTCTTCTTAGAGGACAAGACACTATGTGACCCTGGGGAACAACACCAACAATTTACAGCAATAAAATCCTACTAGATTTAAGGACAGTACTATAGGATGCAACAGTACACACAGTCCCTGCTCTCAAGGATTCTACAATCTAGCTGGAAAGAAAGGATATATGCACTTAAAAATAAATAAAAATGCAAGATAGAATAGTCTAAATGATATGTGCTACTGGGGCACCTGGCTGGCTCAGTTGGAGGAGCATGGAACTCTTGATCTCAGGGTTGTGACTTTGAGCCCACAGTGGGTGTAGAGATTGCTTAAAAAATAAAAGTAAAATCTCTAAATAATATGTGCTACATGAAGACAGAGAAGGATAAAATTATAGCAGTGGATGATTAGAAAAGGCTTTAAAGACAAGTGGCACCTCAAACATTTTTAAAGCGAG